TATAAGGATGCATTTAGTGATCTAAATACAGGAATCACTGCAGACTGGCAGTTCCTTCAAAGGCATTATGCAGAAACCACTGGTTTTTTCCCCAGTGCCCTTGAAATGTATCCTGGCACATCAGTACTGCAGCATTAGATAGTCTTCTGTGAGATTCCTGCATTTCAGGGGGTTGGACTAGATGAACCTCTACAATTATGATTCTATGATTTTATAACTAAAGCTGTGCACACTCACCAATCAAGGGCACACTCAAATGGAAGATTCTCACACTTCAACTTGGAAGTAATTTGAGAGTGAAGCACTGGAGACATGGGGGGGGGGGATACAATATTGAGTATGATCCATTAGATCTCTCTTCAACATGAACTCTGTTACATGACCAGTACTGCTCCAACATAGCCTACGCAGACCTGCCTGTTTACATTCTCCATTCTCATATTGTAAGAAAAGGGAACAAGCCAAGCTATTATCAAACTGCTATCTTACCCTGTGCAGACAACATTTTAAAAATATGGTTTGTGGGGTAGGGCTTTCTAAAAGGGAAATTAGAACTGCCCTGTGGTACATGATTATAATTTGTGCGCAAAGCATGCTCCGCCATTACACACCTGTACATTTTCCATATGTGTGCATACATGCTTTCTTTAATGTCACACTCAATGACATTTAGAAGCATACATAGAGTGGGAGAAAACCCACCTATTGTTCTTATTTGTGGTGGGCCTGGTTGTATAATGCACCGATAAAATGTTCATTTTTGTGCACTCTTGAGTGTCTTTTTTTGGTTTTCCTTATTCAAGCCATTTGACAGTCTATAATTTGGAGAAGACAAATGCCCTAAATGCAGATACGAACCAATGAACGGTGACAATAATAACCAGTGCTATTTTTCTAGAAACTGAGTTCCGGTGAGTTCCAGCTGAAAAAAGCCCTGATAATAACTTAGTAATGAAATACATATATCATATATATATGAAAAGAGGACAGAAAAGAATAGAAAACCACGTCTCAGTGGAATAAGCAACTAAAACTGGCATAGAAACAAAAGTAAGAAATAGTCTAAATATTATGTATCAGCTGAGTGAAGTAATAAATGGTTCCAATATTATACATCCATTGAATAATACACAGTCCAAATACAATGCAGCGGTAGAATAAAAGTTGAATTATAAAAACTCCAGAATGTATCTTTTTTCATTACTTCTTCAGATACTACTGAATGACAGCCAGGCTTGACTTTTTCCAAGATAACACCAAGTTTATGGGCAGTGGGGTGGTGGTGGGGAGATTATAAAAAATTAACAAAAGTGAAGAAAGCAACAGCCAAAAATTAACCGACGTTATTGACCTCAAGGCCTGTTTCCGAATACCATTTACAAGTTATGAAAAAGGCTGCTTCCATTTGGCATTGCAGTGGGAGGGGGGCTGCCACATTCCCATTTGTAACTGCTGAATGCCATTTCCCCACCTCTCTACCTCCACGATGTGAAGTGTAAAGACTGAAAATCTAATGTCCTCCCTCAGATTTGGCTTCATGACTACACCACATAGCCAGTGAGTGAGACAGATTAAGCAGACAGTTCCTGACTCAGGGTCACCTACTGAGATTCATGAGTGAGCAGAAATCTGAATTAGGGTCCCAGTGCTATTTTTCTAGAAAAAGAGGAGCCGGAACTCAACACGAACACCTCCCTCATTCTCTTATAATGGTGCCCACTTGAGAGCTGCTGGAACTCACCTGAGTGGTGTCGTAACTGAGTTCCTGTGAGTTCCCCCTGGAAAATAACAAACAACAACCCTTTGTCTCTCCATTCGAAGTTCAAAACTCTAGCCGCTACACTGCACTGATTCTCTGGATTATTTTTGCCGTAGATGCCTAAAAAACAGGATGAAAGTAAATGAAACAAGTTCTTCATACTGGAAAGCTCTCCCTCTTCCCCCTCCCCATGAATGGAGCTTTTATCAGAATTAATACTTCCTCGTTCTCTCCATAACCCATTTGTGTCAACTGCCATCCCAATATTCATAGGAACACAGTTGTGACTGCTAATTCTTGTGGAAATCAAAGTAGTTAACATTGCTGGCTGCTTTTCACCTCAAGCAGGAATCACTGTTGAGCAAAAGTTAAATCTCTCTTGGCCTGACTCCCACTACGCTTAGGTCAAGCATTCAGTGTTTTTCATACTTAATGGAAATAGTAAATGGCTTAGTGCAACAGGTGTTATTAATATCCAACAAAGCAGCTGTCAACACCTTTGTTCTGAGCTAGCTGGATCACCTTAGATCTGCTTGTTAACACCTTGAGAGTACAAGGTCTTGAAGCATGACCGGAAAACGTTCATCAGGAAGTGGCCTCTCCACCTTTTCTACCCTTCGTAATGCCAGCAGTGATCTAACTTTCGTTTGTTTGCCACCTCCATCCTTGCCTTTGAATAGATGCCAGTCTTTGCCTTTTTCGTACTGTAAATGAGGAGAACAATACGAGGAAGCGCAATTCATTGGCATTTCCTCTTCCCTTTCTTTACTGCACTGTGTGAAGCTACCTACACTAACCATCTGCAGCTTTGTTCTGCAAGGTGGGCATCCTAACATGATCCAGATCTCATGGATTTATGATGGCCTGTTTGGGTTGCATGGCTCTGCCATAGGGAAGGTGGCTGGAGCAGAAGATTCCCTTTGGCTCCTTCTGGTGCTGTGAATCAGCCTAAATGAGAAGCCTAGAACGAAGCCCCATCAGTGATGGTGACAAGAAGCATCTGATGTCTATAAAAAAAACCTGCCTCAGAAATATCTTCATTTAATTAGGGTTTAATCAAAATCATTTCTCTCTTGGGGGAAAAAAAAGCAAGAGAGGAACATAGGGAACTATAGAAGGAAAATAAATTAATTAGGCCTGGTAATCACCCAGCATCTCCAAAATACACATTATGTCATCTTTGTATGGGTTTGATAGGCCATTAAGGTTTAATTGAGAAACCAACAGCAGTCAATGCCTGTCTTACACTTTGAATTTCCATCCAGAAAAATGCAAAATGCGGGCTTACTTATTAGCAATTAATGAATTGTAAGGTCTTACTTGCAGGCTTTCTTTGCACACCTGGTTGGCCACTGTGAGTCAAGGAGGCTGGCCTAGATGAGAGACACGGAAATGAATTAAAAGAAAATTGATACACACACACACCAGTATGCACAGTGTATATTTTTGTATTGGCAGGGAAGAACAACAGGTATGAGCTACACAAAATAATAAACTATATATATATATATTAAGACCCATGGATATCAATGAAAGAGATTCCATCACTTGTTTCAACTCTCCCATTGAAATAAATGGCTCCCAAACAAGAACGGAGGAAGGGGCGGTGGGGGCGGGCTGCCCCGGGTGTTATCACTGAGGAGGGGCAACATTTGGCACGCTGCCTGCCTGCGACTCCCAATCCTACCCCGAGCCGTCGGAGGAAGGGGCAGAGCTGCGCCGCCTTGCCGGCGGCTTTCCCCCCTTCCCCCTTCGTTTTGACAGCTCAGGGGAGAGTCACAGGCAGGCGGTGCACCGTTGCCCACCGCTCCTAGGCTGCTTCCGGGGGGGGGAGCCTCCCCCGAGCTGTCTAAAGGAAGAGAGAAGGGAGGAAGGCTGCTGGCAAAGCAGCACGGCTCCCACCCGGCGGGGGCCCAGGAAGCAGCCTGCCATGGGCAGCTTGCTCCACCCCCCATGGGAGGCTCACTTTGTTCCCATGGGCGTCTCGCCCCCTGGGACCCTTGCCGTAGGCAGCGCACCCCTGTGATGCTGCCCCGCCCCCTGGTACACTGGTCCCGCCCCCAGGGCCCCGCCCCCAGGTACACTGCATGCCATGGCAGCTAGCTCCACCTCTGCTCCCCAAAAGTGTTTCACTTTGACTGGATCATACCTTGCAGGTGACAGCTATAGCCCCGAGATGAACCTTATGAGAAATGCCTGAGAAAGTGCTTCCTTGCTGGGCAAATAAGCTGGGAATTTGGTAACCTTCATATTAACAGGAATAAGCTGAAATATTTGTTATGACTTGGTTTCATTAAAACTTGGGATACACAGTGAGAAGCAGCACAGTGGCAGAGAGCCAGCGTTAGCTGCTAGCAACCTGAACCAGTCATTGTATAGTTTTGATTTCCATCCTAGCTAAGCCATATCCTTCCTTTTCCCTCCCCACAAGGTCATGAAAGGGCATCAGCTATTTGCCTTACTGACTCCTTGTTTTCGGCAGATTTGCTTGTAACACAGTTACTTAAAGCATAAAGCTAAGTAAAGTAAGTATATTATGAGCAAAGGACCAAAAAAACTAAACAAAACAAAAAAACAGTTATGTGTCTCAGACATGCAGTAATTCCTCTGTCTTGAAGCCCAGATGTCATAAGGTTTGTTTCCAGTCTTGAGACTTATGAACAATGAAAAAATGATGAAAAAAAGAAAAAATATGGATAATCTATAACATGTGCTTGGCAAATAACTACTTTGCTTTTTTCTTCTTAAAGCACTAATGAATTTCATTGGTAGGGCTTCCTCAAATATGCCGTGGAGCTTAAATTGTATTTTTTAAAACATCAAAATATATAATACAAAGTAGAAGAGGTTAAATATTTTGACTATCCCTCTAGCTGTCCAAACACTGGACAAAATGAAGTGGTATGGTTCCAAAAGGGATTTCCCCCATCTTCTTCTGCATGGTATCATTTATTTTATTCGTATACATTAAAATGAATGACGCTCATTAAGTAGGGCGAAATCCAAAAGGGCAAATAAAGGAAATTGATGCTATGAGTAAGGCAATAAAACAATGGCAGCCCCATCTCATAGTCACTCCCTTCTCTAATTCCCCCACTATCCCTAAGCTCTGGCCTTGGCTAACCAAAGTCTTTGCCTATGAACAGACATTTCCAGTGATGGTCATGTTCATGGTGCCTGACATATGCAGGCTGTTCCACATTCTCTTTGGTGAGCAGCAAAACACTGAGCATGCGCAATAGGAAATGCCTGTGGGGGTGCGACATCTGTCACCCCATTGACCGCCAGGGTTGATTCAGCTGATCTAGCTGGCTAGGCGGATGTCCCCTCCCTCCCACACCACTCCATGTGCGTCCCTCCCAAAGTTGTGTGCTCGGCGGAAGAAGACAATTGTACCATCCCTGGGCATGACTTCCCACCATCTTATTATTTACACTCTTCTTAAATCACTTCTTACCACTGCCTAAGTGGTAAGAAAGAAGCTAAACCCTGCCTACAGGCTTACGATAAACAGAAACAATTAAAAAAAGGGAAGGAATAAGCACAGGAAGGCTAAGAATAAGAAAAGCCCTGTTGGATCAGGCCAGAGGCTACCAAGCATCCTGTTCTCACAGTGGTCAGCTACATGCCCACAAGCAGGACCCGAGTCAGAAGGGTACTGCCTCCAACAGTGGAGACAGAACATGGCCATCCTGGCTAGCAGCAGAGGCACCAACTCCAGGGGCAAACCCTTTTGCCTCCCTCCATATTTGTTTGGGGAGGCGCAGCCCTTCCAATGTTAAAAAAAGTGAAGGCAGAGGAGTTGGAAATCCAGCAGCAGTGTGGCTTCATTGGCTGCCGGCTCCGACTCCTCATCCTCCACTAATGACCAGGGGCTGCTTCTTCCCCTCCTTCCCTTCTGCGGCAAGAGGAAGAGGAGCTGCTGGCCATTGAATCTGCCCTGCCACAGCACCCCTGGCTCCTCTGACCTGACGCAACATCTGTGCATCCTGACATGACGCACACCGTCCTGATGCAACGTCCCTCCCCCCAAAAAAAAATCTCCCTCGCAAATTGGCGCATCTGGCTAGCAGTCACTGATAGCCTTTATCCTCTATGAATTTGTCTTTTAAAGCCATCCAAGTTGGGAGCCATGACGTCATCTTATGGAAGAGCATCTATGGACTGTATGAAGTATTTATTTTGATTGCCCTGAATCTTCCAACATTCACTTTCATTGGATGGGCCTCATTTCTGGTATTATGAGTTCTGCTATTATTATTCACCCTCTTGAACACTTCTATTATGTACCTTATTTCTAAAATAAAGGGCCCCAAATGTTGTAACCTTTCCTCCACCCCTTGATCAGTTTGATTACCCCCAGATTGATCGTGTCCCATAGCACTCCCTCCTGCCCAGATACAGATGTTTTTTCCGTCTCATATAAACAAATGAAAACTGCTAGGTTTTAGCAGTGGACACAAATATGACATCATGACATCATAACATATACTATTATCTCATCTAATTTGGAGGTGCTGTTTGTCACCTGGGAGGTGATGGTGTATGTAGCCTTGCTTTCTGCATTAGCTGCTTCCCCTTCCACCATTACGGTATTATCATTCAGTTACGGAGTTCCTCTTGGATTTGAAATTGCTCCTGTTTCAAAGAAGAACTGAGTGACTTTGGCAAGGCCAATGTCAACTTCACCACATATTTTGCCTGGAAACTTTAGGGAATTTATCGCAGAAGCAAGCCTTGTGTATTGGGCTTTGGCTGGGGAGGGTGGGATATAAATAAAAATTTATTATTATTATTTATTATTAATTGGTGGGACACAATGATTGAAGTAGGACGAATCTGGGTAACAGCTAGACTTAACTTTTTTAAAAAATAGGGGAAATGGGGACCAGCCATTGCTTCATTATCCTAGAATCCTAGGTGTATACCTGAAGCACCCAAATAAGATTAATTCAAACTCTATTTTGAGACTGAATCTAAATGCAGGCTTCATGGCAAGAACATCTAGCCTATTTTTTGTTTTCCTAATTTCCTGTTTTCCATACACACACCTTATTTTGTGTAACAACTAGCCTGATAAATAAGACTTCTGGAGAATCTGAAAGCTAGTTCAGTATTTTGTGATAGTTTGGTTATCCCCAATAATAGCATTGCCCAACTGCTGGTTTTAAAGTACAATGAACATCTAAATTGCATATAAATACTATGAGAGAATATCAGTGGGCTGACATAACTAGGCTTAATGAAGAAAGGGGAGGTCTGTTCCCACAGTGTTCTTTTTTATAGATGAAGCTCTGCCTTATGAAAATGAATGGTACAATAACACAAAGTTGCATCCAGGCATGGAAAAAAAGATAGGAAGGAAATTCCCAGTGCTCCAGGGCATTTAATATTGGCAGATCTGGATACCTGTATAAAAAGGCTAAGAGGGCAGCAAAGCTGCACAGAGACACCTGCACCAGACAGTCATGTGCATTCCAGATGTGGGCATTTTTCCATCTTCCATCTGTTGTCAGAGCTTTGAGCCTGGTCAGGTGGGGCATGATGGATCACAGGACAGGGTATTCATCTCAGCTAGACAAAGTACATAAGCCTATCTGTCTGCTGAGGAAGCTGTATATCCCTCCTGTTTAATACACTGATAATAATTCTGCAAAGGGAAATTTTCTACAGCATTACCGCTGCCCCCATGGGGCTTGGTATATTGCATAGCCAAGATGGCTCGTTCCATGAGTAGATGCAAAACGAAGGGTGGAGAAGAGGGGAAACAGGCTGGGAAGTACAGCAGAAAGGGCAAAATCTAGATTTCAGAAAGGACTCAACTGCACATTACATTAAAGATGCTTTGTGCAGCTTCATCTGCATTCCTCCTCCCCAATTATTGTTATGAAGGTTGTACGCCACTCCCAATCTCTGCTGAGTGGTAGCAAGAGTCCAGGGGGTTCCAGGTTACGTTTCCATTGAGAATTCAGGCACATCAGAGATATATGGTGTTTTTTTTACATCTATATACACCTGGGTCTAGGTAGAGGAAGTGGGTTCACAGCATTATATCTCCAGAGAGACTTGTTCCCCACAGCAGCGCAGCACTGAAGCCCAAGGCATCCTGCACACCATCTCTGTGCCTCTGTCCCAGCCTGTCAAGATGGTTCTGCCCTGCATGGCCTCTGCCTGGAGTTCTGGCACCTCCTTTCTCCTTCCCAAGAACCTTTGCCAAGTGGCCCCTCCGCTTCTCCAAACCTCTCTGTTTTTCCTGCTACATCATGCCCCCTGTCACCTTGGCAGCCTCTCAAATCTCCGGTCTCTGCCCACTTCTCGGAGCGGGATGGGGTGGGGTGAGGATAGCTGTTTGCACTGCCAATAACCTCAGTGATCCAGTACCTGGTTCCTCATTGTTTCTCAATGGCTCTGCACTTAGCTAGCTTGCCCAAGCTGGTTTGCATAAGCTAACCCAGAAATTTCTTGTCTGGCACAGTTCTGCAGCTTGTATCATCCCTTCAAATCCCAAAATATTAACTAAATACTACCATTTATTAATTTCTACCATTCACTAACAGACTCTGATACTCCAAAACTATGACAGTCTTGAGTGCAGGGAGGGGAGCACTGCACTTAACTCTTCTCTTTGCAACCTAGATCTCATGGAAAATCGCCTTTCATGCAGCAATTAGCTTAGAAAACTCCCATCGGTGCCAATAACTTCATGAGTGGGGACTATTTTTGTCAGAATTGCAGCTGGGGAGGGGAGGGATAAACTTATTTATGTGCTGTGTTCATGGTGAAAATATCCCTCTTACATGTGATTTTAGATCTCTGCTGGGGTTCTCTCACTAAATAGCACTTGCCCCAAACTTTGATCTTGGCATCCAGGGAATTCTCCTTTCATACTTACTTGTTCCTTGAACCAACATGGTTTTGGTTACAGGACTATGTCATCAAATTAATAGAAGTGCTAATTTTGATGGATCACTGTGTTTCAGTTTGTATATTGTTTAAAGGAGGTAAAGCTAGTTACTACTAATAATAGCAATTGGGATTCCCTCTTGGACTTCTTGTGGGAAGAAGAAATGAATGATGATGAGACACTGATGATGTTTTAACAGAAAGAGGAGAAGATGGCTACTAATATAGACAATGTCTTAAATAATCATTTCCTAATGTAAACTGAACCCCGCGATGGGGTGAGCTCCCGTTGCTTGGTCCCAGCTCCTGCCAACCTAGCAGTTCGAAAGCATGTCAAAGTGCAAGTAGATAAATAGGTACCACTCCGGCAGGAAGGTAAACGGTGTTTCTGTGTGCTGCTCTGGTTCGCCAGAAGCGGCTTAGTCATGCTGGCCACATGACCTGGAAGCTATACGCTGGCTCCCTTGGCCAATAAAGTGAGATGAGCGTCGCAACCCCAGAGTCGGTCACGACTGGACCTAATGGTCAGGGGTCCCTTTACCTTTAATGTAAACTGACAGAATTCTCTCCGCCCCCCTCCCGTATCACTGATGTTTCTTTTCCCTTTGTTCTTTTTTCTCTTTTCTTCTTCTTCTCTATTTCACTTTCTCTTTCCTTTCTTTCTTGTTTATTCGATTCTATCTGATCTAGATAGTATTTTATTGTATTGTGAAAACTTTAATAAAAATATTAAAAAGAAGAAGTGTGAATTAAGTAAGGTCACATTAAAATGGGAACTAAACCAGCTGTCTCCCCATCCCCATCAAGGACACGTGAGTGCAATGCTGGCCTGATCCAATGTCTTATAGACAAAGATATCCAAAAATAATGCAAAGGAGGCCCTTTGTCTCCAAACATGAAGAACATGGATAGCAACAAGGAACTTGGCATTCTGTACAAAACTGTGCCCAGTCCAGTTAAGGCAACTGTCTTCATTTCTGGAATGTGCTTGTAATATGTCTGATAATTTCTGAACTGTTTTGCTTGCAACTGCCGTTCAATAGCATGAGGTCATGTCTGTTCAGCCAACACCAGGGAAAACATTGACTGTTAATTGACTTTGGAGTCCAGATCCTAATCTACAGTACTGGGACATTTTCTTTTTGTCATTGGTTCAACAGTACTTGAAACACTGTTCCAAGGGCTTTATTCATCATAACAACATTTATACAGCTGACAAATCAAATAGCCCACAATGACAGTTATGAGACACAATCCAATTAAACTCAAGCTTTTTTAAAATGGAGAATTAAATATGTGGCTAAATCTTTCTCACTAGAAGACTTATATGTGTATAATTTTAGGTAGACTGGGTGTCCATAGTCATCAAAACCAATATGAGTGACTGCTCATACAGAGCTTGAAGCTTGATGCCGAAATCCTATGAACTTTTAGGTGAAAGCTCCTCTGATTTAATGGCACTTACATCTGAGTAACCATGTGTAGGATAGGGTTCCATATGTGCCAAAGGATTCATAAATACATAGGAAACTGCCTCATACTAGGCCAGAATTTTACCCAATACTATCTATTCTGACCAGTACTGATCTCTAGGCAGATGTC